TAAGAGACTAAAAATACAGTAAAAACCACCAGAATAGGAAGCAGGTGACAAAATCAACATGCTCCATATTCCTTAATTACTCAAAGCAATGCAAACAACAGTTGCTTCCTTTTGTCATGGTGGGGCAGCATAGTTCTGCGTATTTCGAACATCGAATACATTGCGGTTAGCGCTCTAGTATTCTTATTATACCTCTATGGGAGAACTCTATCTTGTATTTCTAGTATCTTTGGTCAAAGGGAACTGTTGCCGAGTGATCTCCTTCTCAATAATACCGCCATAGTAGTGAGACAATCAATAGTCAAGCGAGTCTGGGGAGGAAACATCATCATCAGGAATACCTGTTTCTGAATTCATCAAGTTTCAATCCCCAGGCTTTGTTTTTTTTATCGACTCAGCAACATTTAGGCTTCAATCAACGGATGACTCAGGCGAGAGTATGTTGGGATGTTTCCATCGTAGCTCCGGAGTGTACATGTAGGCCTATTTATCCTCCTCCTATTTTTGAAGCAAGACTTCCAGACATCGAAGGTGAATTTTAAATGCAATTTCTACATTAACGGTTCCTGTATGGAACAGTGGGTATATTAGTACTACTAGGCCTATTGTACAAAGGCATCATAGAATAGGATGAAAAAATAATAGAAAATCAAAGCTCTTTTTCTTTAGGCCTAGCCTAGCCTACTTCAAAGATGTAGGCCTATATACAGGGGCGGATCCGGGGGGGGGGAGCATGAGGGCCCGTACCCCCTGCCTCTCAGTCAAGCCGAAAAATAAAAAATAGGGTGACAAATTTGAGTTAAAGAGAGGAAGAGTTAAAAAGGGAGTGCACCCATGAGTTCAGTGGCGATACAGCAGTGGCTATATATATCGGATTTTTATTATTCTCCTGAAGACGGTTGAAGAAAGTCAACCGAAACGTCGAGATATTATCAAACTACAACAACAGTTCTTTTCAGAACTATCTACGTGGTGTACCGCAAGCATTAATTATATAATATATTATACTTCGCCATGCAAACCTTCAAACAATATATCGGATTTGTTTTTCAAACATAGGCCAGCGGTGAACAAAGAGAATCATAAATGTGGTTAATTTATGGCTAGAATAAATTCTGTACAGCTATTATAAAAGCCTAATATGATTATACTATTGTTGCATTTAGGTTATAGGCCTAGGTCATGGATTTTATACCTCTCTCGTCATAAAATTTATGGAATACAAAAATAACCTAAACAATATCCCTTTGCTTATACAAGCTTGATAAAACACTGATGTAGTGATACAGCAAACTACGATCGGATTACGTGGTAATCGGGAGTAATAAAGATTGTAGCACCCAATCGCAACGGGTAACAATTGTGAAATCGATTAATTATCGACTACTATTGGTGAGCTTTCAGACACGATTTTACTTTGCGATTGGGTGTTGCAATTGCTACAACCGATCGCAATGCGAAGCTAGTCTGGATGGAGTATAAACCTATAGGCCTAGGCCTAGATACTATTTTTCAAATTGGGACAAGGAAAAGGGTCATTTTGGGTTCATTCGTTAATTAATTAATTCGTTCGTTCTGATTCTGGTTTGGGCCCCCTAATAAAACTGATGTTTAAAGGTTAGAGTTACAAGAATTTACAGCACACCGATTATAATATATAAAAAATGTAGTGTTACAAAAAATAAATGAATTGCACTAATTAGAAATTACTATCAATACAAAAATGCCTAGGTCTATAATATTAATATGCCTTAAAAGGGAGAGATTTTCAATTGAAATAAATTCGATCAGTATCAGACATTGTCTTATATAGGCCTATAGGATGTCGTTCAATCATAGAGCTGCTTTATAAGCTCCAAGGTTCAAGTAAGTGGAACTCCAATTAGGCATATTGTCATTACCATCACGCTATCACTATCACTATAAATACCTTATATCCAAATATTTTTATCCTTTTCAGATTCTCGATGTTGGCAATGGTGGGAGTGGGTAGTAGTTTGTTTGAGCATTATAATAATATGCATTGCCGTCGGCTGTGTGGCTGCTTTTCTGATGAAACGAAATAGGGTACGGCAATAAGGGATACAAAATGTTAAAATTAGGCCTTTGTCATGATGAGCTAAAAAAAAATATGCATGGATGGGATTTGATATTTTCATTGCATAACTGCAAATGTATTCACTTAAAACAAGTACATAAATATTCTTACCAAATATCATATAATATATAATAATATATAATATATACAGTATATATACATATATATGTATCCTGTTTACTTGTTTAGGCTGTTTATTCTAATCTCACCCAGCCTATTGTTTCCAATCATGCTTGCATGAAATTCTCACTTTATACCATCTAGCTTTTTCTACCCTCACTCACTCACCACTGAGGAAGTGCAGACACTTCCGTCATTCATTAATCATTAATGAGTATGTTTATTGTATTAAAGCGAAAGCACATATTTACGAAATGAATGTGCATGTTATAATAATTCTTTGATGATTTATATATAATTTAACAGTGTTAACGGCTATTATATATATATATATATATATATATATATATATATATATATGATTTTATAGGCATAGGCCTATAGGATAAACCTAGAAACAAGTCACATAATGCAATTAATAATCAATTAATTACAAGCGAAATAGTAGAATTGGATGTTTTGAGAATGAAAAAAGAATCTCAGCCTCCACCAGGAATCGAACCCGGGACCTTTCGCTTACACGGTGGCGAACGTCTTACCAACTAGACCATGAAGGCTTTCGTTGGTTGATTCAATTCGGTAGCCACTGAGAGACTTTCAACATTCTGAACGCATCCCCATGGTAATTCGAACACTAGCCTGTTGCTATTGTTGATGATGATAAGATGAGGATGATGATGAGGACGATAACGATGATATGACAACGACGATGTAGTGGTGACTACAGTATAACGTGGATGATGATGATGGCAGCGACGATGGCAATGCTGTAGCCAGCTATTGGGACAGTTGGGACAGTCCCACACAATTTTTCTGATGGGTCCACAAAGAATAGGTCCACATTTTTAAAAATGGGCCCAAATTATGTAATTTTATGCATAAAATGGGCCCACTTTTTGAATAATGAGTCCAGATTTCCCCATATTTAGCTTAAAATGGGTAAAATTTAAGAAAATGGTTCCAGATTTTTCTTTTTTTCATAAAATGGTGTTAACAGAATTATTATATATTTATTTTCCAGGTTGGTATATTGAAAGAAAAAAAAGGTGATCAAAGAAAGCCTGAGGTTACTTCTTCCTGTTGATGAGGTGCTTTAATTGTTTTTATTGTTCCGGTACAGGAGTTTTATTTTGTTTTGTACTGCTGTTGTAAGCTGTAGTATTGTTTGTTTTTCATTTTTTTGTTAGAAGTCGGCTTGCAGCATTGGAAAATGATTCTCGTTATAAGTAACAATAACTACACAGGTAAAATACACTACCTGTATTAGCATGGCCAGCGGAACCGAGGCCGGGCCCCCAACTTTTTGGCAAAAGATATATTTTCATTCATCTTACTAGTGCCCCCCAACCCACTTTGAAAAACGTTCCGCCCGCCCTCCCTGATTAGTGTGTTATATTTTTAGATACCCATTTACACACTGCGGCCCTAATTATACCTGTCTATGTACTGTACACAAATATTTTGATTGATCATTCATTGATGAAAATTTCGTAGGCCAACAGTACTTAAGCCTACATACCTTTTCAGAATTGGACGAGATGAACTTAAAAAAGTGTCGATTTTGATTTTGGTTATCAACACATAACAAGCCTTTAAATTCCCACAATACGCGCTGGCGCAACTCAACCAATGACTGTTTGGGATATGTGTGGGAAATACCGTAAGTGTGCTCAAAATCAGTGGTTTGTGAGAAAACTCACTTTAATTAGAAGATATAAAATTAGTATAGGACAGGGGTGGCGGGCTGATCCTATGAGGAAAAAAAAAAGTGGGTGTGGTCGAGCGTCGCTCAAAATCCATTGAAAGTGGTCCGGTGGCCAAAAAATTAGGTTTCAAAGGCTTATTTAATCGACTTTTAGTGACTTCGTCTAAATATGTAGAAAATACATAGTTGTGGTCCTCAATACAATATTTTCCTCCCTGACCCTGGGGGAAGGGGGGTGTAGTGTGCTATTCAATGCCAGAATTCAATATAAAATCCTTTTACTGACTTATAAGTCACTGACTCTCAATCAACCCGCATACATTAATCAACTGCTTCCCAAATATGTGCCTGGCCGTTCCCTACGTTCATCTGATCTCAATTTAATTTCTGTCCCTCGCACCAACACTAAGACCTTCGGACACAGATCATTTTCATTTGCTGCAGCCACACTCTGGAACGCACTACCACTTCACATTAAAAAATCAGCATCAATTGCTTTATTTAAAAAATCACTCAAAACGCACTTATTCCAACAATAACATGAAGCGCCACTGATAATTACTTCGGTTTTTTAAATGGCGTTATATAAGTTCTTACTTTATTATTATTATTATTATTATTGGTAGAGGAATACTGTAGTACGGTACCAGAAACGGTCTTGAAGTTGATGACCAATAGGTTTTTAGAAACAGTATTTTAAAAATTAATTATTTATTTGTGTGTCGTAAGTTTGTGAAGGCTGAGCCTATGTTTGATTATGTACATTTAAATTGTGTTTTTACTCATATTCTTTGGTAAATAAAATAATGCTCCATGCGACAGCATCATAGGCTTCAACTGATTTGCACTAAGTGTGTTACAACCTCTGGCTGACGGATCTCTGGATCAAGGGTGGTGCCACCAGTGGGGATGGGGGATCGGGGTCATGTATTTGTAGTTGAATCATTGTGCTGTATATACTCTGGAATTGACCATAACTTTAAATGTTGGAAAATAAAAAGAATTTATAAATAAAAATCTCATATTTTATTAACATTATTATTTATGAGACATTTACATTTGGCCTATTTGAAATGCAAATTCAGCAGATGGCAATTATTAATATTTTTTTAAAGATTGTTAATTTTCAACTTTAAGAAACATTTTAATGGCACTGTAATTAGGATTTGAAGTTACTTTTGACTCTTTGAGCCATAGTTGACTTGTTGCTTTAGTTTTTCCTGACCTTTTGTCGCAATTGTACTTATTTTTTGTAATGTTCTTGGTCGAATAAATAAATGAAACAAAATAATGGAATTTAGTGCTGATGGGTATCACCATTTGTTCTACCTTGAGACCCCTGTATAAGTATAGTCTATGCACACATTCATATAAGTGTGGACATTGTTACAAGTACAGTATTCACTGTAGGCCTGCTGTCCGGGCCTAGAGACAAACCTGGGAGGTACAGAAGTCTGACAAAATATCTAAAAATACTAGAGTACAGTACATATTATAAAAAGTAACATCTAAATGTCAATTGATATTTTAAAAAACCTTGCAAAAAGGGTTTTGGCTTGGTTTTCAGTAACATGCTTCAAAATTTGCAATTCATCTATGAAGCAATCAAATTTAAGTCCTCGCTTAATTAAGATATATTAAAACATGAGATCTTGGATCAATTTCTTGATTAATTACAGAAGGCAGTGAATTTGACCTTGGTACTACTGTACCTGGTATTGTTAATTCTCTCTTACACTTGATGAAACAAACATTATATCACCCTTTAAATTCATAACCTTTACATGTGGTTTAATGGAAACCAAAATGATTGGATTTCATGATATTGTTTGCATATAAGGTGATTGTTAATAGCTTCCGCTCTGTTAAACATAAGCCTCAAGAGAATTTTATAAGTTCCTTGTACAGTAATTTTAATGAGGAATAAACTTCACTAAATTCCAGCATGTTAGATACTCACTATAGACCCTATGTAATGTACAGTACTCTTTATCTATGGGAACACACAAATACTGTATATGAATTTAGCGTGGAAATAACACATAAAATGATGGTGTATATATATTTTTTCTTTTTATCATCAACACTTGAAGAACCCCACTGGAATCAAAGTCTTTGAACTTAGCGGTTTATCCTTGGTGGGATTCACACCAAAAAACACTCCTACAACTAAGGGCAAACCACACAAACGCATGTGAGAAAATCCTATACTCCATCATAAGGTGGACTATTTCCTTGATATGTATGAATTTCATGCTGTCTACATTCCCCATTCGTGTGCCCCTGGACATCGCAGGCGATTGTTAGTCAATTGCCCTGTAGTACAGCTTATACCACCTCCTGATGCCAATACTTGACCCACTACTGATCACAATCCTATTGTTATAAATAACAAACCATTCATACATTAAAATTAACTTCTTTAAATAAAAACTAACATATTAAGTTTCCATAGGATTTCATTTATTCTGACCCCTTTGACAATCTTGCGATAAAATTTTACCTTCAATATTGCACAAAGTTATGCATAATAATTAATAATCTATCAGTCACAGTGATTCTATATTTGAATTGGAATCAAGAGTGACATCATTCAATCACATACTGAGTCTTGATAGAGTTTGGTTCAGATTTCAGTTTCTATTAGTTCTAAGATTAGAACTAAGATTAATCTGAACCACAGTGATGGAAAGCTTTTCCAGACAATGTCCCTTATGGGTGGCAACAATCATCTGATGATGAACCAACCCGATGACAATTATCAGTTGTGACATCACAAGATTAGGATTTAAGACTGATGATAGATGGCACACATCACCAGATGATGACCCAAACCAGATGATGAACCTATTCAGATGGCACACATAACTAGAGGAAAAACATTTCCAGATGATTAACTGCACCAGAGTAACTTTACCAAATGGCAAACATCACCAATTGATGAACCTCACCCGATGGCAAGCATTAAACGGTGATGACTACTAACAGATGACCTTCACTAGATGGCTGTTGCTCAAAATCTCTACAGACCTGATAATCATTTATAGTTAGCACCACACAGAAAGAGGAATACTCTGTTATAACATACTCTGTTGCTTTTCTACAACATTTTTCTCTCACCTCCCTCTTATAGTGACCTACTAGATGTTGCCAATTACATAAATCATACTTTTTTGCCTTGGCATTCTAGGCTTTGGTCTCTCGAATCTTTTCCCATTTTGCTTCTTCACTGTCGTGCCATTCCACCTTCTGGGCATGCTGTTTTACTGCTTCCTCAACTCTCATGTCTATCATCTCTGACGTTAACATGCCATTCTCCGCTGCAAAACCACTGGCCTAAAAATCAAAGACAGTTAAAAAATTATCTATCATAAAATCTTTAATACACTTGCTGCGCACTACAAGCACATAAATTCATCTGCATTCAACCTCACCTGCCAAGCAACAGCAAGCTTGGAAATCTCACGGCCAGAAAGTCCCCTCGTCACTTTAGCAATCTCTGAACACTTAGCACCAAAATCCATTTCACCAAGTTTCAATCGTCTGCAATATAACAATAGGATGACACTCAATTACGTCAACAAAATGTAAATATGACAACTAATTATACAGGCAGATTTAGGGAGGGAAGCATGTCCCCCAGTTTTGCCACTGACATTTGTATTTTGCAAATAAATACACTATACTGAAAACAAAATTAGGAATTTATATATACCTCTAAGCCTATATGAAATTGGTGCCCCCTTGTTTCAAGAATTACCCCTGATGTTATATCAAATGGTAGATCAACAGAGAAATTAGCTACATCATGTTGTATTTTAGGAGGCATGGATCTATACTGACATACATTTATACCAGACTCATTTATTAATTGGTAAATATTTGTGGTACTGCCGTGTGTATATTTTGAAAAAACTATTGTGTTGTTGGAAATAGGAATGCCATCCAAATGCTGTTGAATTTGATGTGGAGCTTAACATAGTGGTTAAAATGAAATCCAAGGATGCTGGTTTCAATTTCTGATCTACATCTGTATTGTTTCTTCAAGCATCAAAACTAAATTTAAGAGTATATTATTAGTTCATCCTGTGACCAGTCAATTTATTTGCTATGAGATAAGAATTTTAAAAAATAGAACTAAAAAATTGGCTCACTTTTTACCCTCGGACGCAGGCTTCAGTACAAAGCGATCAAAGTAGAGTCGAACCATGCGCTCACGTTCCTCTAGGTCTGGTAATCGGAATTCAACCATTTCATCTAATCTGTCATTTATTGCCCAGTCAAACTGCTCAGGCTGATTACTTGCTAGTACTAACATAAATCTAAGATTACAAAAAGAAGAAAAGATCATTTATGAAAAGAAATGGATTGATTGTGGTAAAATCAAAATAATGAATCACGCTTAAATATTACTTGAAATCATTAGTCAGACAAGCATTGTTGATTATTGGTTTAGCGAAGAACACATTAACTTACTTATTTGATTGTTCTCCTGTTCGGTAAAGGAACGCATTTAACGTCGCTCGTAAATCTTCACTAATAACCTCCTGAATATAATGAAAAAAACACCCATAAAATTAAAAACAAATTTATTGGATTTCAATTTTTGGTAAAATTTTGGAACACACAAATAAAATGATATAATTTTTTAAAACTGTGAGGGCACACTTCACTTACCATACTTCTTTTCCTAAGAAATGCATCAGCCTCATCTACAAATAAAAGCACTCTGAAAAACAAAATTTAATAATAAATCTTAAGAAAAACAGTTATCAATAACTAACTCAATTTTGCATTTATATACTGACCCTCGTCGACTCGTTGATGCCCAGTCAAACACTTTATGCATAGCTGTCACACCTTCTCGTCCCATTGGGGCGACATCACCTCCGGTCATAATAGCATAGTCCATTCCTGAGGTCAGCGCCAATTTCTAGTTTGGAGAGAGGAGCTCAATGGTTAAGTTATCAACACATTTTGTAAGCTTGACAATAGCATTATACAAGTATTTCGGTGATTATTTTTTGGTCTTATTAACATCAACATTGGACCTCAGATGTTTTAGATATTGGATAAACACAACACTGCCCTCTAGAGGACAACTCACCTTGGCAAATAATGTTTTTCCTGTTCCTGGCGGACCATGCATTAATATATTCCTATACAATCCTTTGTTTGCTTTTGTGTTTCTTGTTGCTATAGCAATTTCTCTAAGTTTCTCTTCAAGCAAGGGCTAAATTTAAAAAATATAAAAAAACAGATTCATTTTACTTAAATTTTAAACAAAACCAGATCAACAATACAAAGTCTTGTTTAAATATTTAAAAAAAATTACTTTGTGAAAAATGTCTGCAGCTTAATGCAACATGAATGAGAGCAGCAAACTGTTAATATATCTAAATAATGATGAATGCTTTGAAGGGAAAAACAAATGGTATAAACAGCAGCAAACAGATTTCAATTTACACAATTCATAAATTATTTATGCAAATAAAGACTTTTAAACCAAAGAGGGCAGCACAAACAATGTTGCCCTGAAATAATAATGGTCAGGACGACAATGGTTACTTTATTAAGATTAAATGAATAGGCAAATAAAACATTATTAGACTTACTTTAAGAACCACACCTTGAAGTGCATCCTCAGCTTTTGTGAAGAGTCGTTTTCCAACAAGAATGGGATGCCGCAATCCCTGAAGAAAGTTGATCCGTGAGGTTTCCCGTACCAATGAGGGTTTGCCAAGCCTAGCCTCAATGTAGCGTGCAGCAACACCGGTTCCCATCTTGGCCGAGTAAATACCAAATGCCAGCAGTGTTAAACCAGCTGCCTACAAAAATATTGAATTGAAAAATATGAATTTCAGTTCATTTAACTGGCTTGAATTGAGTGCCATCCAAACTTAAAAAACTAAGTTCAGTAAAACATTCAAATTTCTGTCAAGTTATGAACTCAACATTTCATCCTGTAAAATGATTAGATATGTTCTGCAAAGTAATTTGTTAGCTTTTTATAAGAAAATATTGTAATGAATTTATCAATGTACTAAACACTGCCATTAATTATATATCAAGATACAGATCATCCTCCAATTCAAGACGGTTTTTATTTCCCAAGTACAGTAACATCTCAAAATTATGTACCCCTCCATCCGAGCACAGTTCATAAATGAGAAAGTTTGTAATCTAGAGAGTTCAATTTTTCATAGCATCTCGGTGGTGAGGGTAGGCCTAGGCCTATGCATACAGTAGTAGAGGGCTAGGCAGGTCTAAGCCTTGCCATGGAAGCAAATTTTTGTTATGCAACAAAATAATACTGTACAGAAGCCAAAATTATCTGATCTCACTTTGAAGTATTCATTTTACGTGATTTCAGAATGAAAACATGACCATTAATATCAAAAACGAATCTTATTCTCTTCATAAAGATCGCGAATCAATTCGAATAGCACCTCATATGAACAAATCCCAAGACTACCCCAGACTACCCCATCAGGTCCCAAAGGTGGTCTTGAATTGAAAGATGAACTATAATGTTATTCTTGAATGTTGTTTGTAATTTTCACAACTTACAGTTGCTGACACCTTATCCCAATCTGAAATAAATCCCTTAAATCCATCACCAATGATTGTACCAGCAGTTCTGAAAAATCCATAAAAATGTTTAAGAGTACATAACAGCTAAAATCAAATACAAAAATGATTATACAATATAAATAGAAATTTCTAGAACAAACATACAGCAAATATATATGTAGTTGAGGAACATAAACAAGAATCAAATTAAATTTCAAAGAGGTAATCAGTGTCAAAATTATACTATTATTAACTAGATCCTGTAGCAAGCCGATCAATCAGGCGAGTTTGCACGACGTCTGGACTGCCTTCAGTACGCCGGCCTGCTCGAGTCAGCCTGCAGTTGATCCGCTCAGCATAGCCAAACAAATTGGTCGAACGATCTACTCGAGTTGGCTCTCTCTGTTGTGGCCGAAAAATATATAAATTACATTCTAAAATCTGCAACTTACTTCTGATCAGCACCAAATTTAAGGAGGACCGAGATACATGTAACCTTGTCAATTTGTGGCAATTAGAAGTAAATCGGTCTATTAGTTTTTGAGTTGGGTCCCCCGAAGTACACATGGACAAACAGACGTGCACTATTGCAATACATTTCACCGTAACTCTTAAAAGGTCCTGGGAGCACTGCATTAAATATAGAAGAGTACTTACTTGAGGCTCTGCAGAACAGTTTCACGGTGTTCTGAGGCCTTCAAGCGAATCTGGTCAGCCCGTATATCTTTGTTTTCTCGCTCAATCTTAGCTTTTCCTCGCAATTCGGCTTCTAGCTTTGTCATCTCATTTTTATGCCTTAGTTCTGCCTCATATTCTATTGTTGCTTTAGAAAAAATAAATAAAATCTTCATTACCAAATGCCAGAAAAAATAATATTTCTTATTTCCATTCTACAAATTTCAATAATTTGTTTCAGATGGTAGGCCTATAGCAATAAATTATAGTAAAATAATTGAAAGAAAATGTTCAAAACATTTCTTACATCGTCGCATACTCTCTTGTTTCTTAACAGACTCCTCCTGACGGGCTAAGTTTTCATCATTCATTCTTTTCTGTGATGATGAGAATGAGAATTTTTGTAAAATTAGTTTAAAAAATATGAAAATAGCCAAAAATACAAAATGTATTAGGTCCATTTAATGAACCATAACTAAATGTATATTAAATACTTTTATAAGTGTTCAATACGTACCTGTTGAACTAACTGGTCATCGTACCGTTTCCTAGCGAGTTGATCCTGGTACTGTGCCCTCTGTTGATGTTGCTGCGTCTCCTGACCGAGTGTTTTACGCTTCTCTTCTTGTTGGACACGTATCTGGTCTATCTTAAATTGCTCGATGGCAGTCTCGTATTCCTGTTGGTTTAAAATAAAAAGGATCTTAAAAAAAATTCCCATTATTTTCATCTTCGAGTGAGTTATTTTTCTTAATAATAGTTAGTCAAATATGAGGCAAAAAAGCACTAGTCTGAGACATTCCTCACCAAGGAATGGGTTCTGCACTTTGCAGAACACATTGTATCTTTTGGAAGAGTAGGGAGATACCCTGATGATGTGGTGCATCATCAGGGTAAGAACAGTCCCTGTCATGAAAATGAAGCTACCAAGCACAACTTCATGACTGCTACAGATACAATAGTCATGAACTAACCTTGCATTGTTAACAGGCTGTGAAGAGGCTCAGGCTACGTTTCAGTCCTAGGTGCAAGCATTTTATGGCATATGAATATAGCAATTAAAAGTAACCACTTACCTAGAAGTAGCTTTTGAGCCTAGTTTGGGGCGATTTCTGTTTAAAAAAAGTCTACAGTAGTATGCATATCAGCACAATGGCGTTATGGCGTTTTAGGTCAGCTAGTCTGACAATGACCGTTATGGAATAGGCTTATGTCGGAGTATTAATTGTAATAGATTTGTAGAGGCAATTTTTATAGATTTGGACAGGCTTTTCTAAATACAGTAATAAATAATAGTTTCTGTATACTTTGCATAGAGTTATTTTGTCGGCTTGTAGTTCAAAGATTTTTGGAGTAAACTATAAATTTGCAAAAAATGATTCTGTGTTTCAAGTTGGAACATATATTGGCTGTGCAGTACGCATTTGGTTTATAATTTATTTATTGCATTTTATTTTTACTAATGCCATTTTGCTCTTAGTTTATTCCTACCTTAATCTTTCCTTGTTTTTCAAGCTGTGTTGACTGTTCCTGCATTTTTGCCAAATCAAGTGCTCCCTTAGCATTTGCTGTAACAATACCATATTAATGTCAGTGGTGTGCCGGAAAGGGGGAGGGGGATCGCGAGGGGCTCCTGTGCAGAGGTCTTGACCTTTTAAAAAACATTACATAGTTCATCAAGGAGAGAAATCTATGTAATTTTTACAGATTAAGGCCTAGGCCTAATAATAAGCCTTTTTTGATGAGTGTTGGGAATTCCTTCAGGGAAAACTCCAGTGCCAAGACGACTGATATTTATACAGATTTGTATGATCCTCTTTTAAGTGTTTAACAGACCTAGAACAAGTCCCTGCCTAGCCCTAGCTAGCTAGCTAGGCTAGGTCGCCTAAAGTGTCAATTCAATTGAATGAATGCTGTGGCTATTTTGACGAGTCGTGAAAATAGCCCCCAATGCTATTCTTACGACGATGGGTGGCGCATGCGCAGTTAGCGTCCTCGTAGGGGAATCTTGAACTGAACGCATCGTGACTGTCTCTAGAGGAAGGCCACATCACAGCTCAGACTCAGTAGAGGCCAGTTAGCATACGCACAGTGGGCTAGCTAGGAGGAAGATTCGTGGCAGTAGTGGACTAGCGTACATCATTTAGCCTACAATTTAAATTTTGTACATGAAAAAAAAACTAAAAATGGAAAATGGAAAATAACCTAATTTCTCGATGGTAACTGAATTTTAGTGACACCGGTCTAGGGCCCTAACAGGACGCAGGGCGGATCCAGACATGTCAGAAAAAGTGGGGGGAGGGGGCAAGAATTGAGATAACACCACCCTAGGAGGTCTGGGGAGTACCCCCGAAAATAACTTCTGAGGCGTTTTTGATGATCAGTTTTTTTTTTTTTTTTTTAAATTTTCCAAAATGGGGGGATGGCGGCTGCCCTCTAAATCCGCCCCTGGGACGTTATAGGCCCACAAATTTATATTTCCTACAAACAGGTTCCCACTGTACTCTTGAGGGTGAAAGCAGACATTCTTTATTCCCAGCCTTCAAGAACGTGGGCGCACTTCTGCAAAGATAGAAGTAGGTTAGATGCTGGCTATTTTTAGGTGCAACGCATGGAATGGCAGTGAAGATATATGCGCGTGTTACTTTTTATACATTAACTATATACATTGTCATCATTAACTTGGCTCTGCTATGGTTCTGATTTTTTTATTTTGTTAAAAAATTATTAATATTTTTAATGCTTTCAATCCATTTCAATATGAGCATCTATATGGATAACAATATAAATTGTAATTTATTATTATCATATGGATTCAGATTTCACACAATATTCACGATTTGGATTAGGATGATAATGTAGTAACATACTGGTAGTCCTTCTAAATAGCCGGGAAACAGTGGCGTAGCCAGAACATTTCTGAAGGGGGGGGGCAGTGTGGGTCTGTGATATTGTGTGGGGGACAAGTGTTCTGATCGAAGTGAGGAACCAAATGCTGGGGCCAGGGGGCCGTGAATTTTACAATATGGCTATATAAATGTCTATCTTTACGTGACCTCAGCCCATTTGCTCTCAAGTAATAATTTGCTCTCAAGTAATAATGTATAAATCAAGTAAAATTTCTATGGAATTCAAGAATTAAAATGAACATCATATTGTTTTATAGCAGTTTATTCATATTATACAGAACATTTTAAACCATGATGAAACTATTGTATTTTGTATCTTAATACGAATTACAGTTAAATTTTAAAAACATGAATAACCGGGAACACGATTGTACTTTAGCCATTGTGTTGCAACAAGAAAAGTGTTTAGAGAATTATAATGCTAGTTTGTATAAATGCCTATGGCAAAACTACGAAAAGATTGAGCTGAATTCGAGCAATCATCGACATGTAGAAATGTCAATGAACCTCATTAGCCACCTCAAAGGGGGGGGNTCAGGGGGGGGGGGGGGGGGGGGAGAAAGAGGGGGAGCAGGCCAAATTCTGGTGGTGCTACGCCACTGTCGGGAAACAACAGATGAATATGATGAAACTATCTTGAATCTAGCCTTGAAATCAAGCATGTGAAATGTTCTGTTATGTAACTTTATTGCATAGTATTTTACAAAAATCAGATAAATGCTTATTTGATTTAACAAATCAATTTAATATCGTACCAAAAAGCATGGTCTTTTATTATGAAGCATTCGGAAATTCATAAAATTCTACTACTGTATTACATAATAAAAATGTAGGCCTATTGCGTATCCCTGAACTGTGATGTGACATGCCTAGAAACTGAAAGGTCCATCGCTATATGAAGTTTACTCCTAGCTACTGTAGCCCATTGCGCATAGTCTAAATGGCCTCTACCGAGTCTGAGCATAAAATTCCTCCATGGTCTGAACTATGTGGCCTTTCCCTAGGTATAGACATAGACAGTCGCGGTGCGTTCCGCTTTAGTTTCCCCCGACGAAGATGGTAACCACGCATGCACCACCCATCGTCGTAGGAATAGCATTGGGGGCTATTTTCACGACTTGTCGTAAAAATAGCTGCAGCGTAGAATGAAAGACATTAAACTTGAAAAACTGGTGCTAATACGGTTTCGCATCTGGTCGTAAAATTAATTACTAATTACATACTACACAGAGACGAACTACAAAACAATACAAGTTTCTGCAATAATTGGTCACAAAAATTACAATTGGGTACAAATTATATGACATTGACAGACACTGCGGATGAAACCTCGACAGTCGTCGACCATGGTGCGGCGAAGCAGAGTTGATTGTGTTGAGCGATCGGGTGTTATATCGATATACAGTCCGTCCTAATTAGGCCACGAGAATGAAAGTTGTAGATTTGCGTCCGAAAAATTTTGAAAACACATGAGGCATTTTTTCATTTTTCATTATTTTTTTTATAAATGCTGTCCACAAGCCGCGGCATTGGTAATTTTACATTTATTCCCAAGAAACAATGCTTACAGCTCAGTCATAAATGTATTCTAGCCTATAAAACAGATCCTTTTCTACATTTAAGACCTCTTTAAACATACAAGATTTCCTATTGGTCAGAAAGATCGATTTGACCCGTAAATGACCTCAGCAGTGATCGGCGATCGTGGTTCGATGTGGCCAGGCCTGCCTTCGCTCGGTGTTGGCGACGAGTGATCAGTGATGAATAGATCGTTTTTCTGTCTGTTTACGACTTAGAAAGTATATTTTTTTTTCAAAATAATGAACTTTTCAAAATAATGAACATTTTCGTGCGGTAGCTTTTTAGGCATGCGGGCGGTGGATGCAAATCTACAACTTTCATTCCTGTGGCCTTATTGGTTAAATAACTTAATTAGAAACCATAGTTGTGGAATAATAAGTGGCTTATCATCAAAGAACATGTTAGTATTAAATAACTGTAAGTTATAAATAATTTGGTAACCATTTTTAGGGTTGGATGCGAAACCGTATTAGCGCCGAAAAACTGACATAAAAATGATGATTATGATACAGGCATATATAGCATAGCACACATTAGCCAAAAGCTTGTACAGCAAGATTTAAGCTAAAAACACCTACCTGACCTATCTAGTTCTTTGGCTGCCTTAGCTGCACGCTCTAGGCCGGTTGGATCAAAGTTTGACCAGCTACCGGCGACTTTCTTCGCCTCATCTCCGCCTCCTTTTTTGCCATCATCGCTACCCCCTGCTCCACCGGGTAAAGTCAACCCATCGGGAAGCTGAGGTAATTGTGAAAATTCGGCCGGAACCGGGTCTTTCTTGACACCAAATAACCAAGACATATTTATTATTTAAAGAGTTTGCAAAAACTATAGAATAAATTGCCTGTGCCAAATTTCCTATCCTACATGCAAGACCCCAAACTATATGATAGAACTATATTGCAAAAAATGACTAGCCAATCTAATATAACACACGTGGTATGGCGGTGCATTTCGTGATTTCATTAAAAAAATTTTGTAGAGGGCGCTCGTCGTTATTGTAATAAAATACAAGAGGATACACAAGATACAAGATTGTATTGTCGGAAAATTGTTTCCACTGGCAATTTCACAAGGTACACACAGCACAGACCAGTAATAAATAAATCCCCGACGAGAGGAAAGTGAGCGTGGTCGGGCGTCGCTCAAATTGTTTTGAAAGTGATCCAGGACCGAAGCCCCGAAAAATATGACGATTTTATTAAGAGTTTCGAAAGCGTCACTGTTCATCGATTTTAGAGAGTCTGATAATAATAGGCCCTAGTATGTAGAAAAAAAACAACAAAAAACAAACATATGGTTTTTTTTTCTCCCCAACAGGAGGGGTGGGGGGGGGGGAGTGTGTGTGTGTTATAAATAAGCTGTTTGTGTATATTGATTGATAGTCATAAATAAAATGCATTAAGAAGAAGGAAATTTGCTTTGTTTGATCAAACTTTTTAATATTTAGAACCCCTTACTTTGTTTTTTCACAAGTTAAACGATGGGGGTGGCGCCAGGATTTGCCTGTCCAGGTACCGAACCACCGACGAAAAATATGAAAATTTACTGTTTCAAAAGCATGTAATCGATTTTATAGATAGGCCTAGATACCAGAGTCTAATAATATTATGTGTACAGAATATAAACGTATGTTTTTTCACAACGTGGGTGGCGCCAGGATGTGAAGGGGGGAGGGGGTGGGTTGGGCGATGTCCCCGACGAGAACAAGGTGGGCGTGGTCGGGCATCGCTTAAAATATTTCGAAAGTGATCCAGGGGTACCCCCTAATATGATAATTTTGGAGTTCAAAGGCTTATTTTTTATAGATAGATCACGGATGAGTTGTTATTTATAGGGAGGATAGTCTAAGGGAGTTAATCTAATAATAATAATATGTAGACAATATATATTTTTTTCTTCCCGACGACTTCAGTGGTGTTTCTCCCCGACTGAGAAAGGGGGATCGGGTGTTAAATGAAAACCTTTTGCTTCCTCGTGACGTTGTCCTTAGCTTCAAAGATGACGACATAGAGATATAATAAGAATACTAGAGCGCTAACAGCAATGTATTCGATGTTCGAAATACGCAGAGCTGTGTGTGTGTACCATCCAAGATGGCTTCCATAGATTCAGCCAATCAAATTTCTCCTGAGCACTATCATTTTCAATTGCGCCCTCAATTTACACAGAAAGTTCAGTACAGCAAGTTACCCGTATTTTGAAACTCGAGCGTTGCGGTTTATGGGTGTAATGTACACGATTTTAATTCTTTTTTATATTTGAATAAGATGCTCTACTTGGCCTCTTTTTGGCTACGACAGTTTAATAATTTGTCATTATCAATACTAATTATCATTAATGAAATAATATTCAGTCAGAGGGCTTATTTACGGTAATAATATGTATACTAAGCCTGAAGGTGGCGCTTTTCTACGGCAGCCATCTTGGATGGTACACATACACAACTCTGCATTGCTCCGCCATCTTGTCAGCACTTTAGTTGTTTAATACTCTATGGATGACGATAACAGAGATGGCGCTGTTCATATTGTTCTATTTATACTCTTTGATAGATATTTTTGTTACTTGGGATTTTCCGTGAGATATAATATGAATGTTGACAGAATTTTTCGGTACTTTTGTTTGCTGATTTCTGTGTGTTAATTTGGAGGCTAACAACCTCATTCGTTCATCATTCTTGTAAACTAGGCGGCGGATTTACAGTTATCCTGGCTTTAGTTGTTCGACCAACCAACTCGCGAGAGGGTAGGCCGTGTATGACGAAGCTTTACGTAAGTAGTAATATATAGTAGTAGTAGTAGTAGTAGTAGTATTCGCGAAACACTCTCTCTAGGCCTAGTAGTAGTAGGGCCTAGTAGTGTAGTAGACCTAGGGCCTAGGGCTATAGACCAGAAATGATGTCCGGTTCGGCCGGGAGATATTCAGTGCCCAAATAAGGGTTATTGTATGGAACGCCGAGTAGAATCAATGCGTGAATTAGATATCACAGTGCAACATTAGCCGCGGGTTAGGGGGTAGGCGGATTATGACCGGTTGAGCCGCCGACAAGTTGAGCCGCCAGTCATTTTTATGGAACGCCAAGCGCTTCTCTCAGTGAATGTAGTACGTTAATTGTGGCGTATTTCAAATAACTTATTCGTTCTTGGTACTTTTGTTTGGGATGTATTTCAGTTTATTTACTCAATTATTTCAATTTATTTAATACTCGGTTTTTCCACTGATTTATTAAATATTTTTGGGACGTATTTCAATTTATTTACTTGTTCTTTCTATCGTTTTAATTTAAATTTTGTGAGTATTTGCTCAGTCAGCTTGCCAAATAGTAAAAAAAAAACTCCATACATTCTTATAATTTATTATATATAAGTTTAACATATAGTACAAAAATAAAAATATATAACTTACAAAACCATAATAAATACTGTATAATAACATAGGCCTAACACATTTAAATTTATTGTTTATAGTCATCTGTCTAAGTCAGTCGGCTTGCCAGATAGTAAAAAAAAAACTCCATACATTCTTATCATTTATTATATATAATGATATATAATAAATATAATTTAATTAAATAATTTAACAAGATAGTACAAATAACGAATAAGTTAATTGAAATACGCCGCAAACCAAACGTAAAAAGTAATCAAGTTATTACATTTTTAATACGATTTTGCATGAATAATAAATAATAAATTTAAATGTGTTAGGCCTATGTTATTATACAGTATTTACTATATGTTTTTGTAATTTATATACTTTTTATTTTTGAACTATTTGTTAAACTTATATATAATAAATAATTTAATTAAATAATTTAACAAAATAGTACAAATAACGAATAAGTTAATTGAAATACGCCGCAAACCAAACGTAAATAGACACATTTTTAATACGATTTTACAATCATACAACTTCATTTATTTTTATAAAAATGTAGTACATAGAATTACATTTTCAATACGATTTTGCAATTATACAACTTCATATATTTTTATAAAAATGTAGTACATAAAATAATCAAAATTCTAATTTTCAATTACACAATTATACATCACGAACGGCAATATGAGCAAATCAACGACTGACAAGACTGTGGGATGAAAATGTAGCTGGTATCCGGGGGGTTCATTCACTGATGACATCGGCAAGCCGACTACATTCACTGAAAGACGCCATTCACTGAAAGACGCGCTTGGCGTTCCATAGAAATTACCGGCGGCTCAACTTGTCAGCGGCTCAACTGGTCATATCCCCTGTAGGCCTACCTACAGGCTACAGGGAAATCATCTGTAAAGTAATAGAAATTGAATCAAATTGTTGAAATAAAGAGTATATAGGCCTAGGCTAGTTTTTTTTTTTACTTCTACTTAGACGAACACAATACCATTTAAAGCCCCATTCCCGGCAAAATTTCACTAAAGATAGACTTTTTTTAGAAAATATGCATTTGCATTACTCCAATTATTATAAATCATGGAAAAATATTGGCATGAATTTTAGTTTTACGCAAAAGAATAAATAAAAGGAGAAATACAGTCTATTTCTCATAAAATAAAATATCGTTACTAGGCAAATTCAGAGGTTGTAGATCGCATCCACTGGAATACTCTCGCTTTTATGTATACTTTATACAGTCAATAAAGTGCGCCCTCTCTAATGAGATTAGTTTTTGTACTTCGCATCTCGCACAATGCGGTCGTTCGGTTAGGCTGAGATGTTTGTTTAAGTGTCAAAATCTCAGTCAGAATCAGTTTTTTAACAAATTTGAAATAATTCCTGTGAAATATTATATTCACAAATGTCAATACTAGCAACATAAAATATCATTTCGGCCGTTTTTATGTGTGATAACAGAACCTAAATTGAGGTAAGGCTAGGCCTAGCCTAGCAGCGTTGGATAGGCTAATGTTTTCGGCGCCTACGATATTTCTTCTCACGACCTATCGCAAAATCAACATGAAAAATTCATCCGCATTTATTTTTTGTGTGGAACACAAAAAATCAAATTCAGTCTTATTTTACATTTTTTTCATTCTTAGGAATGTCTAAATTCAGTTAAACTAGCAACTCCGTATTATATTTATAAATCTTTATAACATTATACAAAAATTCGATTTTTCTTAAAAACTGAAATTTTGCCGGGAATGGGGCTTTAAATATGCAATTTAGCCTAGTACATTATTTTAAAGATTGATTGTTTTATGGAGTAGTTTTAATAGCATAATTTTTAGTTGTTAAGTGTTTTACATTTATTTTATCCTGCAAAATATTCTAAGTTAAAACTTTATTGCTTGGAAGTAATTTAAGTTAACTATAGCAGTAACTTATCAATAAAACTTGATTTGTATTTTGGAATAAAGTATATAATATAATTAATTAATCCTACATTATAATTATATATGTATGATAACAAGTGTACCTATTACAAGACGATTATATGTTCCATAAAAAAGTGATTGATTGGTTACCGTATTTAAATAATTTAATTTACCTCATACACAAACACGATGATATAAGTGGCTTATATATCAATAGTAGTAATTAATTATAACTAAAATAAAGTGATGTCATCAGAGTTATCATTAATTAGGTGTAAACAAATGAAAAACATCCTACTTAATAATAAATACTAATAATAATTATTATTATTTATATTATTATTATTATTTTTATTATTATTCATATACAGCATTTTCAGATATTCTACAATATGGAAAAGACAATATCAATTAAATGGAAAGATAATAAAAATATAATATTATAATTTACATTGGAATTAATTAAAAAAGTATTTATATTTCAACGTTGTACTGAAATTGCTAAAATAAAAATATTGAATGTTTTTTTGTGGCGTTTATATTCTTCTTGCTTCAAATCAATCAATCAATCATTTAAAAATGTATAGGCCTAGACATAATATACAACGAAACATAAAGCATAAAATATTATAAGCTTCAATAATATTACAATAAATATAATAAAAATCCACTGATTTGGCAGTATATTAATATTATCAACATTCTTCTTCTTCTTCAATATAAGCATCGACACTATAATATGAAAGTAATAAAATCCTTTGGTTTGATTATCAACATATACAAATGCATAATAATGTACATTTGTTTGTTTTAAATAGATAAAATGAAATATATGAATCTTAAAACATTATTATTAACTTACACAAACTTAATAAAATCCACTGTTTGTTTGTTTGAAATGGATAAAACGAAATATGTGAATCTTATAACATTATTATTAACTTACACAAACCTAATAAAATCCACTGTTTTGTTCGCAAACTAATCACAGTGCCATTGAATTGCTTAAAAAAAGCACATTAATTATTTTGCAGGATAAAACCTGATAATCAAACACAAAATCATGGATCTGTAGCAGCAATATATTAACCACACACACAAATAATAACATCCATTTCATTTGGTTTGATTATCAACATATGATTGCATAATAATGTACATTCGTTTCTTTCAAATATTTATAACAAAATAATGCTATCTAAAACAATTAATTATTAACTTACACGGGACTTACACAAACCTAATAAAATCCATTGATTTGGCAAACTAATGGCAGCATAATAATGCCCTGATTTTCTTAAAACCACATTAATTATTTGGCACCAGACCTAACAATAAAACACGAAATATTGGATACTGTAGCAGCAATAGATTAACCACACACACACACACACACACACACACACACACCCACATGTACAGCATACACAGCTTTGAAAAAAATCAAATCAAATCGTTCCATTTATATTGCGCCATTCCAACAATCGTTGCTCGTGATGCAGTGGACAAGTGTTGCTCTTTTCAATAACGTTCTCCTCCCCTGAGAATCGCTTTATGTCCTCTGCAGCCAGTAAACCGGCGCAACTTTCATCTGTCCCCGACAGGAGCCGAGTGCACCAGTACACCGGGGTACCCCCTTACTCGTCTCGAATGATGTACTTGGTTCTTTAAAGTGCTTTGCGCCTACTTGGCGTTCCATACAAATAAATCGCGGCCGAACCGGTCCTACACTTCCCTACTGCTGGCTGGGCTGAGGCGAATATTATGCCTACCAAGGGAGTGCTCCGCCGATGTTTCAGCCAGCCCATTGATTGTTGAAAGGGGGTCTAGGCCACAGAGAGGTAGGTATGTAACTGTTTGAAGACTTATTTTTTAACATTTTTTATTGTAGCACCCATTCCCAACGGGTAACAACAATTGCAATATCAATTACTTATCTACTATTTGGTGAGCTTTCACACACGATTGTGAATTGCAATTGGGTGTCGTAATTGTTACAACCGATTTCAATGCAATGCTAGTCTGTATAGGGTATCACACTAATGCTAGTCTGTATAGTGTATCACTAATTTGGGTACTGGCTAGCCAAATATGGGTACAAGTCTGACAAAATTTTGTTATGAATTGTGAATCGTTGTTTGTTGACGAGGTAATTGAAAAAATGACATTTGTAAAACAAGGTTTATTAGAAGCTGAAGAAAATTACGTCAAAATTATTATAATGTATGAAAAATTAAGGAAGTTCTTGAATCAATGGATCCTAATTAACTAAAGAAACTGAACATTTTTAATTGGAATATTTGAGGCCTATCTAGACCTATTTCAAAGAGGAACCAATGTAATTGTAGGCAGTAGGCCTAGCCAAGCCTAGATCGATTTGTAAGCCTACATAGGCCGAAATTAAGTCATCACGCGATTTTACCTGTCTGTACATGCAAGTTAAATTGGCCTTTTGCACATGAACGAAAAAAAGATCAAGCAACATGGGCACGGTTGGGGAAAAAAAAATAACATTGGGATAACAATCAATCAATAATGATTGACTTATAAATATAAATAAAAAATTTGCCTTGGTTAAGTTTTACCATATCTAACTAGGGGATTTGATAGTATCAAATTACTACTTCACTCAATGACTAGAACTACAACGACAGGTTGTAATAAGATGAATTTATAGTTATACAACCATTAAACAAGTACTATGAACATTTTTCAAACTGCCGTCGTATTCACTAAATTCCAGGTTAATACAAGATGGACCCTAAACATAAGAAGTTACTGAGGATGAACCGTGTTGAGTTGGCCCGCAGCATATGTGCTGAAGATGTTTTAGAAGGATTAGTAAACCGGTTGATATACACTTCAAGAAAAATGGAGGACATTCTGGTAAGTGGAGGCTTCAATAACAAGAGTGTTTTGGCAAGGGTGCTCCCCAGATCTGCTCCCCAACCACACTGGATCTGCCCCTGCAATACTCTATGCTACCTGTGATTTTCCACTTTGAAATTACATGTTTATATTGAGATAATGTTCATTTAAATATCACGTGCTAATTTCATCTTTTAGTCGAAGGGGAGCAAACAAAGGGTTGTGAACTTCCTTCTTAATGACATTGAGACGCGTGGACCTAAAGCTTTCAAAGCCTTTGCAGAATCACTAGTAGAAGCAGGTGTCCCTCACCTGGCTGAAAAATTAAGCCCTGGTATTTCACGCACTGTGATAACTGACTACGACCAATATGCTACCTATAGTTCAGAAACACCTATGACTCAGGGACATATAAGAACACCTATGCCTCAGGGCCATATGTCAACACCTATGCCTCCAAGCCAGGTGACAACACCTATGGATCAGAGCCAATCAGCAATGCCAATGGATCAAGACCAAGTACCAGTAGTGAAACAAGAGGTTGGGAATCAAACGGCAGTGTACATGAAATTAGACCACAGAGCCTTCAGCAACCAGTCTGCTCAAGAAGGTTAGTTTGTTCAATTTGAAAACAAACATTAATTTATAATCAGTCAGGACTTAAGAAGTGAGACTTAAATTAAAAGCTGAGCTTGTCTCCAATAATTTGCTGACAAAGGGGTCAGATAGGTGGTCTAAACCAAAGGGCCTCCTCAGGCAGGCATGGGATCAATTACAGTGAAAATGTAATCAATTACAAATTGCAATTACTCTATTTTCCCACTTACATTACACTTATATAATAATCCCCCCCCCCCCCCCCATTACAATTACATTTCCATTTCGATGTTTGGACAAAATCACATAAAAAAAAAATCATAATTTCAATCAATCACCCTAATATATCAAACAGATATTTAGACCTTTAGTATTTAACTGTTTTATCAAGCTACACTGTTTTTGGTAATGAAAATACCATTGGCTTCAGTAAAGGAATACAATTCTTTCTGGTAAGTTGTAGATTTGACCTTCTGCTCACTGTCGAATATATGAGGTCAGGTGGTATACACCCGTGGATTATACTGTAGATGGCTAGTTCTTACTCACTTATTGAATAACTAAGTGCAATTATCGTAATATTTTGCAACCCAGAAATTTTAGGCAGGTTGTGGGTTGAGTACAAATAAAGTTTATATGGGATACTCTAAAATTAAGATCTTCCATTACTGCTTAGCAATGGACATTCTCAGTAAAATTAGCTTTATATTCAGTGGGGACTTATTATATAATAGGTAGTACATCCTATTTTAAAGCAAATTAACAACTTGCTTGGTTTATGGTTATGTGAAATATTCAAACATTAGGAAATAGCTTACAGTTGGATAAACTATTGACACCAACAGTTATTTCTAAGCAATAAAATAGATGAGTTGTTCTGCTGTCCAGTGGATGCCACTTTGAGATTTTGATAAAAATAAACAGTTTTGAAATGTATAATCACATGTAATTGCCATGATTACAATTACATTTTTCCATTTACAATTACTTTAAAATTACAAATTAGATTGTTGAGCCCAATTACAAATTACACCAAATTAAATTAAAAAATGTATAAGTGTATGTATGAGTAAAGTTCCTAGTGTTGGGGTCATTTTATTGTTAAGGAATGTCAATATTAGGAATTCAACTGCAATATCTTTGATTGGATTGTCAATCTCAAGATGAGTCTGATGACAAGAGGATCCATACTTGTCTGACAAGGATAATTCTTTCTCTAACTGCTGCTTAGGTTACACATTATGCATTGACAGAGGAAATTAATACAAAATTAAATACTGTAACAATTAAACATATTTTCAAAATGCTTGATCTCAATGTCAATCTCACCTCTCCTTTATGTTCAACCCAGTGCGTGTATAAAAAATGAACATAGTTTTTGATTTTACCCTTCTGTTGACAGTGAGCGATCACCAGTTGGGTGCAAACCCAGATGTTACTAGTATCCCCATGGTTTCCCAGCCGACGTCGGATGTTTCTATTAGTCGTGATCCAGAAAGGGTAAGTTCCCAGTATTTATATAGTCTTAACAGTGAGCTTCACTTTAAAATCAATAAATCAATCAATCAATTAATCATTCAATTTATAATAGTAAAATGATAATAATAATGTATATTTAATGAAAAATGATCAGTAATGGTAATGGTTTGGGACTTGTAAAGCGCATACTACATGGTCTCTATGCGCTATAAGTTACACAAAAGAAACAAACCAAAAACTAACTCCTAAAGTCTAACCAAGCGACCTAAAAGTAAAAAAACATCAGAAACAGGCTATCGCAGGGGATATGTATGCTTGGAGGGAACCACTTATATGAGATTTATTTTGCTGCACACTGGTGATGATACCATTCAGCAACAGACAGCAATTTCCCATTAAAAATTATTAAAATACCTTTTTAAAGTAAGTGTTATATTTGTTATTTCATTCTTGGTTTCATGTTTTTTCTTATACGGTATTTATATAACAATTATGTTAAGTGCATTTATTTCTACACATATTGATTATAATTTCTTATTTCCTTTAAGGTTTATAAGATGGAAGCTAGTCCGCGCGGATTTGCAGTAATCATCAACAACGAAAAATTTACAAATTTAAAACAAAGATTGGGGACACAATACGATGTTCGTAATCTGACGTATGTGTTTAAACAGTTCAACTTTAGTGTTTCAAACCATGAAAATTTGACTGCAACAGTAAGTTTTTTTTTGTAATTATTTATTTTCCTGTCATGTTTTACAAGTTTCACTGTCCATCCCTCCATATTGGCGAAACTAGCAGTGGTGGATCCAGGAATTTGAAATAGAGGGGGCCCAGAGGGGGCCCAGAGAGGGACTTTGACAGATGGAGGGTCTATGCTACCTTAGCCCCACCATGGTTGGGGCTAAAGTACAAAAATTTATGATTATGATGGCTGGAAATGGCAATATTAGACATAAAATTTGAGTAGAATTTTCTTTTTTTATATATATTTTTTTTTATTTTGAAAAATATAGAGGGGTGGGGGTGGGCCAGGTTTGCTTGGACCCCCCTTGAATCCGCCACTGACTAGTATCAACCCTGTAGCATATGTCCATAGTTTGTTCATTGTTGATGAATCACGTCACATTTCATCATATTTTTATGTTTGTAAATCATCTACATATTCACAACCTTTTTAGAATTTGTAAGTACTTGTGCTTCAAGTTTACTGCAAAACTAGTACATGCTATTTTCTGTGGTAACATTGTTGTAATTGTATTGTAATTGTATAATCAGTTTGATTTTAAATGATTTTGCTAAATGTTTTCTGTATGTATTTAGCTTCCATGTAATCGAACGGTCAACGATGACATTGATATCTTTTTTGAATTCCAGTGCCCCAGCGCCAGCCTTTTTAGCCAATTTGACCTCATTGCTGAAGGTCACTGAGAACACATACCTTAGTGTAAATAGATGAGCTACATACCAAAATAAAGAGCATAGCAAGAGCTTCAAATTGATAATTTGTTTTATTTTATTAATAAGTCATCATGTGTAACCAAACCAAAAACAATGACCACTTTGTACAAAATTACACAAAAACACAGAAACCTTAAAAACTGTGTAACACATGATATAGGCCTATACTGCAACAGTAGGCCTAGACTGGGCCTACCTTTTTAGGCCGTAGTAGATTTGGCCCATAAACAATACAAAAATGAATGTTGGTTCATCATCTTTGTAAAATATAACACATATATAATTTTACTTGGATCATCTGAGGCTAAATATTCGTTATTCAAGTCCGAATTAGCAAAAATCTCGCAGTAACTTCTTCTGATACGCTTTAGTTGCCATGATGGGCAATTTGATCAGTGGTGAGCCTGTACTTTGAAATGTGAATTTATTGCGGTCTGAACACCAACAATTTTTTGAATTATTACTAGAGATGTGTAACTATACCTTTTATCACATTCTGTTAAAAAGTATCAAAGACGGTTATTTCCGTCTTTGGCAGTCAAACGCTGGGCTGCCAAAGTGTAAAAATATTAGAATAAAAAAAATATAATTAGGCATTTTAGAAAATATTTATATTTCTATTTGTGTAAGCTGTGGGTTTATATATACCGATATGCAAAATTTATGGATCGTTTTTAATTTTTCTGTGTATCTTTTGACAGAGAATGAGGATGTTGTTTCAAGATTTAAGTAACCTTGATCATTCAAAGTGTGATTGCTTAATTGTTTGCGTGTTAACGCATGGAATGCAAGGTGGTCTATACGGCACCGATGAGGGCATAGTTAATATTGAGGAGATCACCAATTACTTCCACGCAAACCGATGTCCGACGTTAGCTGGCAAGCCAAAATTGTTTTTCCTACAAGCTTGTAGAGGAGGTAAGTATATTTGATGTAGTTTTTTCATATGTTTAGTTGCCCACATGATTCTATGCAGACCATAATGCAACATGGATTGTACAATGGAATTTTTTCACCAACATTCCACTCAAACTAGCACTAAAAGTAGCAGATGTTGGTGTTACATGAAGTGCTGACCCAGAGCGACAGTTTGTGCCCGCTTTGTTGTTGGCCTTTGTTTAATTGAGATACATCTTCATTAAAATAGGCCAGATAATAGAAAAATTAGGTTTCAGATTTTCCATTCATATTTTCAAAAGCCAAACTGTGTTCCTTGAAGTCACAAAAGGCAGCTGTGCTTAAAGCAGCAATAGCCCAGACCTATGTCTGTGAGATAACCAAATTTGTGAAACAAAATGAATTTGATCATCCTTCGGAATGAAAACAGAAACCCCGAGTTCAAAATATCACTTTCATGTACTGGAGTGGCAGCAGCAATAGTCCACCATAGGAGTGGTTTGGCACAGCAGTTGAGGTTTTCCTTTTTGCCCAGTGAGGGTTGAGGTTCAATCTATTGCTGTGCATTTCGCATTAGGCAAGATTTACCTATGGTTGTCTCTCTCCACCCAGGAATACAAGGGCTACCTGATAGGTTGAAACACAAAATATGCTGATACAGCTGCAACATTTATGGAATTTTCCCCAGGGATCTGAGTATATGTTCCATATGTGCTTGATCCAATGACCTTGAGTAATAATGTGAAGCGTTTAGAGGCCTTGTTGGCATTAAGTGCTATATAAGTGTAACATATTATTATATTTATTTTAATCTAATCGATTACCCAATATTATGATATTAAAAATAGATAAATCTTTTGTTTCCAGAAAGTATTGACAATGGCATTGAGTCGACAGACGGGAGTGCAATTATCGATGAAAGAAACGCTCATGCCACTGGACAATCCTTCAACTTTTATGCACAACCCAGTGATGCAAGAGTAATGACTGATTTAAGAAATGGCCATCAGGAAGCGATGGGAATGGATTATATAGATGCCATGCGAAATAAACTACCTAGTCAGAGTGACATCCTCCTAGCCTACGCAACTGTGCAAGGTAACATACATTAGTTCAACTAGGGTAGATGTTCTTCAGATAAATATACATAAAAAATATCAGGAAAGCTTAGCAAAATCATGTTGAGCAATATCATGTACCAGACAATAGAAGAAAAACAATTTGATGTCTTAAGCTACATTTAGAGTAGACATGAAAACGACACAACACTATAAACATGCGCTCAGTGTTGAAGAATATAAACGACGCAATGTGTCATTATTGCGTTGTAGTGTAAATGAAACTTCATTCTCCACAGAAATATCAAAACATCTTTGCTGAAATGCTACCATATTGAAGTTAGTTGACCAACTAGAGTTATTCTACCTTCTGTAGGGAAGCCATGAATGTTAACCACCAACTCCACACCCTAATGTTTACAAATTTCTTGCTTTCAGGTTACGTGTCATGGCGGAACTCTGAGCGGGGCTCGTGGTTTATCCAGGCTTTGTGTGAAGTTTTGCTGGCACATGCAAGCACAGAGGATTTGCTCTCCATGATGACAATGGTAAAGTCTGCCCTCACAGTCTGCCCTACTCTTGTTATGGTGTAGGTTTATTGAGACAATATAAACAAAAATACAACATAACATTCAGGGGTTGGAAGTATGAAGAAAGCATTTCCAGGAGATGAGGTTTCTAAACACATCTAATCTTATTTTGCTGTGCATGGTGGATACCTAGTGGTGGTGCCAGAGTCTGAAATCTGGGGTGGGGGAAAGTGAGGGAACAAGGTAAAATTTGTAGGGGGCAGTATTCTGGGGTGGCCCGAGCGTGGGCGTGGTCGGTCGTCGTTCAAAATATCAAGAAAATGGTCCAGGGGGAGAAGCCCCCGAAAAATATGACAATTTAGGAGTTTCAGAGGCTTATTTAATTGTGCCAAAGACAAGCTAAACCAGTCACTTGTCGCAAAAATCGATTTTGAGTTATTAATACAGTGTTAGCGAGTAAAATCATAGCTATAAAATGGTAAAAGAATCATTCAAATCGGACATTTCCTTATGAAGTTACAAGCGTTTAAACATACAGCTGTTTAAAGAACAATATATGAGAAATCAGCCTTCAAAGTTTATGATTTCAGGCATTTCTCATGCAGAAACTATC